TTTAGAAAAAGGTCGCGAATTTTGGAATGTTGAAAAATGTTATATTTTCAATATTTCTTCAATGAAATGTTGATTTTCAGAGTGATTTTCAACTATTGCTATGAAAATATGTGTAATATCGTTAATGTTCAACTAATATTCTTGGGAAAAAACCCAATATTTTGCCAACATTTCTGGAAATTTTTCTATTAACTTATCGACCTAAAACGGACTAAGTTTTCGTCTTTATTCAAGAGAACCACTTTTGATTTTTATTGCAAAATACACAAACATAATTTGTGTATTTGCAAATAAGCAAAGAAAAAATTCATACGAATAAGGATACTATACGAAAAGGATGCTATCAGAAGTTCTTAAAAGCATTAGAAAACACAATACGCTTTTAAATTTTAAAAGATTAAAGTTTATATGTGATAAAGTAAGTAGCATTTTGTTTGAGTGGTAAGTGTAAAGTAATGCAACAGAAAAATTGTTAAATTATTAATTTCTTAAATTTGTTTTTCAGATTAAAATTTATTGAGGATGACGTTTAATAAGTAAAAAGAAATTTAAAGGAATCCTAGAAGAGAAATTTATTTTTAAAATAAATAATTAAATTAAAAGGTTTCTAAAGGAAAAAAAAAACAGGCGTAAGGTAATAAAAAAATCAATAAAGAATTTCAACTTTGAACAGCAGTCGTAACTAGACGTACAGAATGTAGAGGTCAATCGAGTTTATCATATACAATATAATCCAACCTGAAATTTTTAATACTTTCATGCAAAACACTCCATTGCCTCTTTTTTTTTTTTAGGATTATTCAAATTGCTTTAATGAGGAAAACGCAATGTTTGGATACAAATAGCGTCTTATTATAATGGCAAATTCATTTATATGACGAATCGTAGTAAATGTACATATTTTAATAATATGAGTTTACCAGTATCATATTTAAATATTTACCAGTATCATATTTAATTGGAAATATTTGTAAATATAATAAAAGTCGCAATGATAATGTCGAAAACAAACATAACAATAACAACATTCATTAATTAGCACAAACACTGATCATAGATAAGAACCATCCGTTTGCTTTAACTGGGTGCACAAAAATCAATAACAGCACTGCAACTACAATAAAAAAGTGGCTTTAAAAAACACTTTATTTGGAATATGAGAATACTTACTTGTAAGATTTTTTATACATTATACTTAGGTAAATCAATTTCTTCCTAACAACTTTAAATTATTAAATTTTTTTAAGATTAATATTTTTTTAATCAATTTTATAGGGTTCTTCGGTTTACCCTTTGATTTATTAAATAGATAGACAGGAAATAATTGTAAAAAATTTAGTTTACATTTAGGAGTTATAAAAATAATATACATATTACAGATTTCCAGAACTATTACTTATTCAATACGGACGAAGATTCGAAGAAATAATTATCTTTATTTTTAGTACTTTTAAAATAACACATATAGTAAAACAGTTGTAATCTTTTATAAATCACAAATGCATTGTAAAATTCTTGAAAATCATTATTCTTTAATATGAAGAAATCCGACCACCATTCCAAATTTGGCGCATACAAGTGAATATTATTACTTACTTTTTATAATACTGATTAATATAAACTTTTCTTGTAAATACAATTATTATTTGCTTATCAAAAGTTAAAGTCTTTTATACAGGAATTTCTTGGACATACCCATTACCTTGAAGACACCTTTTTATTATTGGTTTATCTTTAACAGATTTTATATTGGTATAACACTTGTATTATGTATTTCCAAATTATTTACGTTATTAGTTGAAAAAAAAAATTATTTGGAGATTTTAATTTGAAGTTATCTAAGTATTTGTAGTAATAGATTTTGGGTATCAATCAAAATGCAGATAAAATATCAATTTTAATTATTCGGCAATCGGATGTCTTGTCAAATAATGAAAATGTTATAAATAATTTCATTTCGAGGTACAGTCGATCAAAAATAATGTAATTTTGATTTGGAAAATTTTTATTATTATTAAAAATGCATAACCAGAATGTTTGCGTTTTATTTGTTTTTCGTTCTGTTTATTTCTAAAAAGAATTTCTCAAAAATTTTTTTGCTTTGTATTTTTTTTTTTTTACACATTTAATTCAGTTTGTTCTTTATTTTATAATTTTATAAATTTATAATATAATTGTAATGTTCTTATTATTTTTGTTTTCATCAACTTTCGTTCTTTTTCTTTTGTCTTCAATTTATTTTGGATGAAATTATTTTTTGCAAATTAAATGTTGTTTTTTTTTTTTTTATATAATAATATAGATAGGTCATCCATGTAAATGTTCCATTTTATAATTTTAAATATTATATTAATTTATATATAGTATGTATATATCTAAATAATAGTTTTTTTTTTTAATATTTTTCATTTTAGTTTTATATCATTTATGGGATAATTAACAAGTTATAGATCCGATATAATAATATGTATATAAGTTTTTATTTTTTTTTATATTTAAATAGTTTATACAAAATAAATATAATATACAACTGTACTGTATAAATTTTATTTGTTTTTTTTTTTTTGTATGTATATAAAGAGTATAATAATTGGTATAATAAAATATTTTATTTTAATGTTGTGTATAATTTTTTAAACAAAAAATAAATATATAGTTTTTTGTTTTATTTTTTTTTTTTTTGTTTAAATTTATTTTTTAATTAAATATTTATGTATAAATGAGCGGATTATAGAAAATATTACATTTTTTTTAAATTTTGTATTTAATATATTATATTTTATGGCTTTATGTTTTGTTAATTTACAAATATTATATATAAACAATTACATTATCTTTTTAGGAATTAATTTTTAGACAAAATTTTAACATTTATAATATCCAAAATAAATTTTTTTTTATATTATTTTGTTTTTCAAAAATTTATTATATTTTGATGTTATATAATATATATACATATTTATATATCTCTGTAATAAAATAATATATTTATATATGCTTTATTGGGTTAGTGTATAATAAAAAGCATTTAAAATTAAAATTAAATATTAAAAAAATTTAATGTTGTTAAAAGGAAATACTTTAATTAAAATTGTAAAAGAAAATATTGATGATTTTTTGTTTTTTATTTTAAATATTTTGAATTGTAATCATTATAAATGTCTATATATGTACGTATGTGTACAAAAAAAAAAAAGAAAAGAAGAATTTAATATATGTACTTATAAATGCATTGACACGTTTATTTTGGATAACATTTTTATTTTAATTTTTTAAAATGTATATTTAATATTCTGGTTATATAATACATTAACATATGTAAATGCTCCTTTTTTAATTAAAAATTTTTCAAAAGTTTTATATTTATGTAAAACATATACATATATATATATATATATATATAATTTTTTTTTTTGAATTACATAATTTAAATATTTTTTTTTATAATGTAATCATCGGGATTATTTAAATTTTTATTTTCTCATGTATTTATTGAGAACATTTTGCTCAATTTTCTCATTACATTACATAAAAATTAATATTTTTCTCATTAAATACATAATATTAACTGACAAGTGATTAGTTAGTTATTTTTGAAATATAAACAAAAAATTTTAATTTTAATTTAATATTGAACAAATATATACATACATAGTAAATATATATAATTATGTAATTTAAAACAGAAATAATATTAATTAAAAAACAGAAAAGTGATGTATAATAATATTATTAATTAATATTTAATAAAATGTTGTTATATATATATATATATATATATATATATATATATATAAATATAGATATATATAAATATACATGTAAGTTTTCCCCACATAATTTTAAATTTAAAATTGTAAATATTTATACATATTTTTATTTGGTTGCACAATAATTTTATTGAATTTTATTATATTATTTAAAAGTAGACATAAAATAGTTTTAATTTTTTTTTTCTTTTTGATTAACTTTTTGTAAATAATTTTTTAAAATATTTAAATATATTTATGTTTTTTTTTTTTATTTATTTATATAATATTGGATATTAATAATAATGATAATAATATTGGATATTAATAATAATAATGATAATAATAAAGAAGTATATATATATATATATATATATATATATATATATATATATATATTTATAGGAAGTATATATACATATATGTATATATATATATAGTATATATATATATATATATATATAGGAAAATCAAATTAATTTTCTTTTTCTTTATAAATATATACGTATGATATTTAAAATTTTAGTTTTTAATATACAATATTAATTTAAATTTAAATTTTTGCTGGACATTAAAATTTTTTATACATTAAAAATACAATAGTTATAAATTTATATAATAATATAGTATAATATGTACATATATATAGGTAGTAAATTTTTTTAATTTATATATATAAATTTATATACCAAATTTATTATATTAAATTTGATATATAAATTTAAATATATATATATGTACATATATATATATTTTTTTAATGAATATACATACATAAGTATAGATTCTTTTGTGTTTTTTAAATGTTAAAAATATATATGTTTTATAATTTTGTTAATTGGCACACCCTGTAACTTTTAAGTTTTTTCTATACATTTTTTTTTTTTTGATAAAATTTATAAGTATATAATATTACAAATAAGAAATAAATGTATTCAATTGATGACTTGAATATTTTTTTAAAATATAATTAAAATATTATAAACGATTTTACCACAATATATATAATATATATACATATATATTATATACATATGTATTTATAATGTGTAATTGTAAAATATATATATATTTTTTTAAAATAATTAATATTTGTATTCAAATATATATGTAAATTTTTCATTAATTTTAAATTCATTTTTAATTTAATTTATTTCATAAATTGACTTTTATAATTTAAATTTTGATAAAATTAATTTTAATATAATAATTTAATATTTTTTTTCAAAAAGAAATTTAAACAGTCATTTTTCAAAAGTTTGATAATTTTTGTATTTTTTTAAGGACTTTTGTTTTTTTTTTTTTTTGGTTTCTGTATAATTTTTGCTAATTTTTAAGGACTTCAAGATTTTCACATGTTGAACAATATCTTTTGTTTTTGTTTTTGTAGTTACTTTTAAAAATATTCAATTTTTTTTCAATTTTGTTTAAATTTTATGATTTCATTTAATTTAAATAACTTTTTGAATTGATTTGGCTCCTTTCATTGGTGAAAAAGAAAGTCCTGGTTTTCCAATTGGTCCATTAAAATAATTTAAATGTCCTAAAGAACGTTTTTTCTTTGATACCATAAAACGTTTTGATGGATCTATTAAAAATTAAAAAAAATATAATTTATTTATTTTTTAATAATTTATTTAAATTTATAATTATTGAAATCAGTTTATATTTACTTCTAGCTCCTTTATCCTTATAAATTTCATAACGTGGTATATTTTCAAAATTAACTGGTATTTGATATCTTGGATCAAAATCATTTTCATCTAATTTATTTGGTGTTATAAGTGAACCGATTTCATCATGATCATCATAATAATTTGGTTTACTATATGTTAAATAATCTTTATTATTTAATTCCCATAATGAATCTGATTGTGGTTCTTTTTCTAATGCTCCAGCTTCAATCATTGCCAATAATGCTAATAGTTCATTCGGTGTTAATTCTAGTTCAGTGTATTCCCTATACAATGAAATAATTCAATAGTTCAGTTAATTCAATAGTTTTAGGAATTTCTTTTTTTGAAAAATATTAAATTTAATATATTATCTAATTTTGTATAAGTATATATACTTCTTCTTTGTAAGCTTATAAAATTGTTTCCTTAACTTTAATACTTGATACTTCAAAAGAGTAACATTGAATTTTAATTCTTTATTAATTTAGTTTATTTCAAACTTTGCTTACTTTGCTTAAATATACTTAAAATAGATTTTGAATTTTATTTTAATATACAAAGTTATAAGAAAGTTGTTATAAGTTTTATAAAATTATTAAAATAATTGAAGTAAAATAATAAAAATTTAATTGAAGATTAAAAAAATTTGAAAATCATATTTTATTGTACTTTATAAAGCTGTTTCTTATTAAAATTTAATTATACTTTTCAACCATATTAGCTAAGACTTTTATAAAAATTCTTAATAAATATTTATTATACTCGAAATTATGTTATTAAAGGTATATAAAAGTATTATTAAAGGATTAAAATAGATGTGGCCAGTCATATTAATATTACGTAAAATAAAACGCGAGAATTATATCAAAAGCATGTTTTAAGCATATTTTTTTTGGATTTAAGATTTTAATAATATTTTTTAGTTAAAACTTGTTCTAGGAAAGATTACAAAACTCAATAATAATTGATGCTAGAAACACAGATGAGAAGAACATTTCCAGAAGAAAGAAAAACTGAATTAGAAAGCAGATATAGAGAAAACTATTGGCTCCGGAGGTTGTGAATTTAAATACAAAAAACATGATAAAGCAAAACTAATGGTTAGTCTAGTTTGACTAGTTTTAGTTGACTGACGACGATTTGAGTCCGCTTATATTTGTCTGTTGATAATGTAGAAATCATTTAATAATAAAACTATATTTTTTTATTATATTGTATACGATTTTTAACAATTAAATTTTTTAATTTCTTGTTTCTTTTAAGGATTTTGCATTTTAATCCTTGATTTTCATAAAAAGTTTTTAATGAAATACAGATTAAAAATGTGGGCAGAAAATATGGTAAACTAAAATTTCCAATATTTTTAGTATTCTGGTAAAAAATTACAGTAGAAGTTAGAAACAATTTTGGTTTTTACAAAAACTTTATAAATATTTTAATACACAGAAAATTATATAACTGTTAATTTAATACCGTTTTCAAAAATATAATTCGTATACATTCACATTCGGCTATATATGTATATGCATGTCCATTTTATTTTGATGTAGATTTGTGTTTAATTTAATAAACATTTTTAATAATTTTTACTGGGAAAAACAAAAAAAAAATTTATTTTCAAACTTAATTCTATTTAATAAATTATTTAAATTAAAGATGTCGAAAGCCTTTTATTAAAAATGGGTTAAAAAAACATATTAAAAACAATTCATATAGAGTGTTTAAGATTGACATGAAAAATTTTTAAAAGTTGAAAATTTAAAGAAAAACTTTTAAAGGCAAGTAGGTATTAAGCGGATATTATAGATGGTTTTATTAAGTTAAATAGATCCCTGACTTCATAAACGTGCAGATATATCGCAATGCTACAAAGTCTAGAATTTAACATTTCATATGCCAAAAAATCTGCAAAGTCAAAAGTTCAATTTATTTTTTTAATACGTTTAAAATGTATAGATTACGATAATTTCGAACACTGAAAATTTATACATCCTGCTTAATTTTTGCTTTGTCATAGCATGATATGTGGCAGTAATGTAAATATACAAAAATCAATACAAAATTCAGAATTTTTATTAGATAATTAAATTTAAAAGTGACTGCAAATGTAATAAGTAGTGAATATAAAAAATGTCATTTTGGTATTGTGTCCACACTTCACGAACTTTATATACAATGTCAATAAATGCAATGCATATTCTACAATTTAGACTATTTTTGGTCTAAATTGTAGTTATACATTGGAGTATTGTAGTTATAAAGCATATATTTGTAAAATTTAAGTCAGGGAATATTCAAAAATTTTGCTATTATATAAAATATGTATTTCATAAAACATAATTGACTTAATGTGATTTTTGATATTATACTTAAAATTTATATTTTAATTATAGAATTTTGATTTAGAATATTATGCAAGCATAGGTAAAGTAATAATATTTCTGCAATTTTGATGTGACTATGTAAGTTCGAAAATTTATTAGACTAATAGAGTATAATAGAGTGTAATATAAGCGAATTTTTTGAAATATTTAAATAAAAGATGACAAATTGCAAATATAAGAGCTAAATTTTAAAATGGAAATCAATTCTGTCAATTAATGACATCTCTGTCATTTGTTCAAAGTTTAAAAGTTTGAAATTTAAACATTTTATTTATTGAAAACACTCCGTATTTAATTATTTTGTTTTTATCGCTTATCTTAAGCCATTTTAAAAAAAAAATATATTCAACCTTATAACATCTTTTATTATAATATTATGATCTTATTCTTTTGTTGTCCTCTTACAGTTGTTGTTTTTTTTTTATTTAAATTAAAATTATTTTTATTAAATACATGATTTCATTATGCTAATGATGATTTATTTTTTTGTTGTTTATTTTTTCAGTGAAATGGTGTGGAAAATTTATTTTGTGTAAGCATCTTTTTTTTTCCCTTTATTTTTTTAAATTACTTTATAATTTCTTTTAAAGGCTTCCAACAAAACTAATATTTTTTTTTGTTTTAAAAAATATAAGTAGGTAAGTAATTTTTTACATAAACTTTGACATTTGAAATTATAGAAAAATAATAATATTTTGTATGTATGTACGAGTATATTTAAAAAGTTCTTTATTTGTACCATTGTTACAAAAAGTTTTCAAAACAAATATTCTGTTAAATAAATTCATGTTAACTTTTATAATTATGGTTCTTTAATTGTCACATTTTTGACAACATTTTAACAGAATTTATTCTTTATTTTGCTTCATTTTCAGCATATGAAAGAAATTTAAGGTTTCAAAAATGACTGTTTAGCCGAGCCTTCTGTTGCATTATCCTCTTTTTAGTTGTTTTTCTCTAATCAGTCTAATGAATTAATCCAAAGTTTTGGAAATTTTTTTGTTGCAATAAGACTAAAATCACTAATAATGCACTCTAGAAATAAAAAACAATTTAGTCTTTTTTCTACAAGGTGGATAAATCTCGAAAGACGAAGAAGGACGGCTCTACCTGCCTTTTTCCTCCGACGCTCTGGAGAGCGTGACTCTTACCCTTAAAAATCACCTAAACTCTGAACGGATAAAACTATGTAGTCCTACAGACCAGCTATTACCTCTGCGCTAACTTGGTTTTTCCGTACAGGAATTAAATATCATCCATAAGGAAACTGGTATTTTGTGTTGTTACTGTTACATACATATATACCATGACGTATTTACCATGCTCCGAAGAACTTTATTCTGGAAGATTTGAATTTTGTTAATGTGAGTCTTCTTGGCAAAACCCCACAATTGGATAATTGTTTGTAAACAAATTTACGTATTTATAATTTTTCAACTTAAATTAAGAAATTTGACATTATATTCTCTCGAAATTCGAAAGTACATTATTTCGGTATAGTTAAAATTTTTATGGTTTTGGTATTAATATTATTCTCAGTTCAGTTAATTAAAAAAAAGTAGATTTGTTGGCGTGTATAGCAAATAATTCTTCTCACTCGAAAATCACGTTGTACAAATATATAATAGTTACTCACTTTCTTCTCCCAATGCCGAGTAAAATAGCTAGATAAGCGATCAGGCCCTCGTATTTACATTCGGGATGTATTGAATATCATATAACAGTAAAATAATTTGAAAAAAAGATTATATCCAATGGTTTTGGTTTGGCAACCCATTTTGGGTAATAAAATTTCAAAATTTTTTTAAAATGATAATATAATAATTTTAATTGTCAAATTTAATTGTCACACTTCAAATTTTATTTTAGTGTAAAATTTTTATCACTCAAGTTCTAACTGAATAATTGTTTGTATATTATAGTGAATGATATGAATATTAGATACGCAAGGGCTTTTAACATTTTAAGGATTGAATAGCAACAAAAAAAAACAAAAAGAACAGCTTCCTGTAGAATCCGCTTCTTTATTATACAATCAATTCAATTTAAACACTTGAATTGAATTTTAAAATTTACTTTGTAATTCAAAAAGGAACAAAAGGAAAAAAAAACTCAATTTTTCTCTCTTCAACTTCTTCAAAAATGTAAAATTAAAACTTTTATTTTTCTTTTATTTTTCTTTTTAGTTTTTATTTTTTTAGATTTCATTAACCTTCATAATAACTTTTTTTTATATAAGTTATTTTTTATTTGCATATAGCTTGATCGGATCTCGATTCTTTGCGTTATATTTATATACATATGTACATACATATGCAAATAAACGTAATTTTATAATATTTTATAATTCACGCCATTTAATTTTTTGTCCTTGTCTTTACACAATATAAGTTTTATATAAATGTGAAATTTTTATGGATACGTCGTTTACCTACACATATAGAACAGAAAATAATATTGTTCAGGAATTTTCCAAAAGGGATAGAAAACTTTCTAGAAATTTCATAATATTTATATATATATATATATACGCATATACACACATACAATATGACAGAATATTAAAAGTATATACAAAAAGGCGAAAAAAAGGCAAAAATTGCTCTCCCAATAGCTTATAAGTTTTAAATTGAATTATTGATTAAATTTAAATTAAAAATAAAAGACAATAAAATAAAATAAAAAACAATATTGTAGAGTATATATGGTGTTTACATTATGTAAAAATTAATAATGAAAAAAGTATAAAATAAAGTAAATAGTTACATGCATGAAGGTTATGTTATGTCATCTGTCTTAAAGTTGTTCTTGAAAGTAAAAGAAATAAAAGTAACGAAAAAAACAAAATACAATTTTATATTTAGACTTTTTTTAATTAACTTTTAATATTTTACCGTTTTTATAAGTATAATTGCGTTTTATGTCAGACCTATACTACGAGTACATTTTTAGTTTTTAAAATTTAAAACGAGAAAAATCCCAGCCTTGTTATACATTTTGACATATCATATTTTATTATTACGTACTTCTTTTCCAAGAAATTACCTGTCAAATAGAGCATAACTAAACAATTGTTTTGCATAAAACAATATAATGCTGTTTAAGGTATTCTGTCATTAGATTATGTGTAAATTTCTGCTATCAATTCAATTTCAAGCCAAATGTTAATTAGATGAAAAAGAGGTTTACTTTTTATTTATTCGAAAAACAGATTTTGTTCTTTAAATTTGAGAGTTAATATGAGAGTTTTCGTTTATGCTCGTTGCGCTGAAATTTCTGCATTAGAACTTAAATTTCTAAGTCGCAACTTATGCAGTCTACAAATTTTCAAACTTCTAAGCAATTAGTCATTTGAATATGGTATAAATAAAAATTAAAATTTTGAAATTTAAAAAAAATAATAAAAAGAATCATACGGTAGCGAAAAAATCTAAATTGGCAGAATAAATTTACCTATCATACACACTTTATTACAGCGAGAAATTTTCGAACGATTTCTATTTTCAGTATAAATGCAGCGTACAATTTTCGAACGTGCTACAAGTTAGAGTTATTTTAGAAATGAATTAATTAAAACCCGTGATATATATGTTATTCTTTCCATTTATTAATTCCAAAATGAATAATCGTTCACATATTTATGTCAAAATTAGCATAGTACATATTTTTGTAATACTGCAGGATGATGTTTTAGAACTAATTCTCCTTATACGGCATTTCATACACCCTAAACATTTTTTTTTTTCAATTTTCAGAAAATACATCTTCAGAGGGGGGACTATGCTGATTTTGATTTTAAACAACTTAATTGTATTTTTTGTTATTCTGATACGAGCATCGTTATTTTGACACATTGCAATAATAAAACATAAATTACGATAAAAAATTAAAAAAAAATCTGTATTAAATATAATTAAGTAATAATGATAAATTTTCATTTTAATATTGAAATTAACTTGAAAAAAAGAGATGAAATAATTTCTTTTTTGACAAGCAGATGTCAATTAAAAATGAAAGACGTATAAAAGACATTAAATTTTTGCTAATAATTTGCAAATAAACAATGTGCGTGTGTATATGAAAAAAAAACTTGTTTGAATTTTCAATTTTTTTTTTATTTTAATAAAATTCTAACATTAGAATTCATAAAATTCTCTGTATATGTTTGTGTGTATTGAAAATGCCATTGAGATTTCATTTCACTTCAATTTTTATTTTATTTCAAATTAAAAGAATAATTTCATAATTTTGTTATTGTTTTAATTTAAAATGAAAATAATTGCCATTTGTCCTTGATATTTTTGATTTTATCTTTTACAGTTTTTATTTTACTGTTAATTATTTACTATACAACACAATTATTGAGGTATACACATACCTTATATAAATAAGTTCTTTTAGTTTTGTTTTGTATTGAGATAAAATATTATTTCTTAGAAATAATAATTTTAAAGTAATTAAAATTAAATAATTGGAGTAGATAAGTTTATTTATTTTCTATACAAATAAATACAATATAAATTATAAGTGTAAATTATTAATAAAAATATTTTGAACTTATTAAAATTTAATTTTCAAATTCTATTCAAATTGTTCGTACTTCAATGTTATTATTTTGTCAGAAGTTTTAGAAATTTTGAAAATGTACTTAAAAGTTAAGGAAATTTTTAGTAAGTGAATTTTAATAAAAATGTTTTGTAACTGTTTTATATCCTGTTGCCTATCTAATTCTTATAAGCTAAATGAGCTCTAAATTTTCTAAGATGGTGGACTCGAATATGTTAGTATTAATAATTAAATTATTAATGTTATGTTTTCCAAAGTTCAATTGTATTGTATGGATTTGACAAATTATAATTATTTTACAAAATGGAGTTACAATATTTTAGTTTAGCTCAAAATAATTTATGAAAATTCGATTTTATGAAATTTAACAAAAATTTCCAATAAATTTTTAATTTTTAAAAATTTTCATATTTTAAAATTTTTTTTCTTCGCATTCTATTTTAAATTATTACCGCACAAGTTTTTTTATAATTATGTAATAAAATAAACGCCTAAGGATATGCAAATATTTTTTGTGTGTAGGAAGTTTTTCAGTTTTTGAATTGCTAAAAATAAAATCTGCAAACTTAATTAAATTAAAATATGAAGAAAATGCTATTTACTTAAAAATCAAAAAAAAAAAAAATAATTTTTTTTTTAAATCTCGGTTAAAACTTTTTAATAACTTTTGGGATTTCCAACAAAAAAAAAACCGAAAAAAGACTACAAAGTAAAACAAAATAAAAAATCTCTTTCATAGAAAATATTATTTTTTGACAGAGAACTGTTTCTCTTTCTCTTTTTCGTTTTTGTTTGTTTTTGATTGTGAATTTGTTCAAATGAATTTTTGAAATTTCAACTTGAAGGCTACAACATTCGCCTTTCATGTGATGTTTTATTGTAACAATAGGTATAAAATCATTTTCAAAGTGAAACATTAAAGTTTTTACAAGAATAACTGTTTTGGATAATATAACAAATTTATTGATATATATACCTACATATATACATATATGTGGGAATTAATAATCGTCCCGTATCTTTTATGGTATCTTTTATGTGATATTGGTCACTTTTATGTGTCAATTATTTTATCATTGCGAATTCAGCTGCAGTTTATTTTGTTAATTGGGTACCTACAGCATAATGTTTTTGACAAACTTTCTTCTTTATCAGAACGTGGACGTGGACGGATGTTTTTTTTTGGACAAAGTAATTTTAGAGAAAAAGATATTTTCCATATTTAAATAAATATTAAAAAAACCACATATATATATATACTTACGGTACAGTATCATCAAAGCTTGAATGTTGTTTATAAGAACGTTTTCTTCTCTCATTATAATATCTATTATTATAGCCATATGATGATGTGGAATATGGTGAATATGAGAGTGCCATTGGATTCTGATATTGTGTTATTGATGGTTCTGAATTTAAAATATTTTGTAGATTATCATATGGTTTATTATGACTAATATATTGAGCTATATATTATAAAAAAAAAAAAAGAAAATATATAAATTATTTAATAAAATTTAATTTTCCGATTATAATTATACATTTAATTCAATTGTGAATAAATTATTATATAAAATATTATATTTACATCTTGTTTGCGGATAATCATCAAAATCTTGAAAATCCATTGATGTCATCGGATCTAATTCATTAGCCCATATACCATTTGGTATATAATTTGGATAATTTCTTGTTAATGTTGATGGTATTTGTATATTATCATTATTTGGATTATTATTATTATTGCTACCATATAAAAATTGTGAATTAACACCTCTTTTATGTGGTATCGGTTTCTCTTTAATTAAATTTGTTGCCATAAATAAACCAGAAACAAATTGATCTGGTATATTATTATTTAATTCATTATCATTTTTTGTAATATGTAATTTATCATTATTATTTTGATTTGATAATTGAGATGATCCTTTAATATTTTGATTATTATTTGTTAGGGTTGTTGTTGTAGCACTTGAATATGTTTGTGTACCATCATTAATTACATTTAAATTTTTATTATTTTCAGTATTTTCATGTTGTAATGGAATCGGTTTTTCATTTGATGATCTTTTAACTATATATGTATAAAGTAAAAAGAAAAATTAAAAGGTATATTATTAAATTATAAAAAATAGTTATAAATAAATATTATTTTTTAATTTTAGGATATTAGAAAATTGAAGGGTTGCCCGTAACCTCAAAGAATTAGAAATGATTTTTGAATTTCATCTGTAATAGCATATTAACCTGTCACAATATATTTTCTTAGAACTAGAACACAACTACAGTAATCAAAATATATTGTATTAAATACAGAAGGGCGAGCACAAAATTGCATATAAAATTTGAAGATAATGGCATATCTGATCATAAAATTGCCATTGCGAGTGAGTGTTCAGTTAATAAAACATTTGTTAAAACCCTACTCAAGGACCTCACATACTAGAAAAGATTATGTTAAAATATATGAAATAGTCAAAAATGCACTGGCAGAGTAATAAATATGACTGAAGTAGATGAATTAATTCATATTACACAAAGAGCAAAAGAAAAGCAGATTACTCCTATACAATTACTGAGCAATTAAAGATTTGGCGCCTTTTATTTGAAGTACATAAAAAGAACGTTGGTCCCCGTGAACAAAAAAACGGCCAGAAGTTTCTGCAACGATTACAACTATAAATAATGATACAGATCATGTTTATGATGTTTTAGATAAAGATTACGTTACAGGTGTTTTTATTGATTTAAGTAAAGTATTTGATGTAACTAATAATAGCCGCCTTCCACAATTTATTGAAAATTTAAGAATTATAGGCACAGCAAATAATTTATTCAGAAGTTACTTATTGAATAGAATACACTGTATGCGAATCAAAATCACAACAAGCATTAAATTGCTTATAAAGATGAGTTCGCCACAAGAATTTCTACCAGAACTACTTTTGTATTTGTAATTAAAGTACACATAATATGCTGATGGCACAAAACTCATAGTAAAAGTAAAAATTTTGAGTAAAAAAGGTAAATAAAGATATCACAGTCTATAAGAATTGGCTGAACGATACTAAATGTAGCTGGAGTCATTGTACTAAATTCCATGTTAATCAAATGTTCATATCAAGTTATACAAGTAATGTGAAAACCGAATTATACACAAAAACAAATGAACTAGATAAAAACCAACTCATTTATATTCAGAGAAGTGCAAATATTATATTACAAGAGATACAATATATAAATATAATACTAGACAGAGAGGATAGTAAATGATACCTTAAGCAAGTACATCATATGAAAGGTCTAAAATTCAGTGCAATAATTACATCTGGCAACGTGATTTTTAGATAAAATTATTTTAAAAGATTTTGGTTTTAATTTCTTATACACAATTTTACATTTGAATTGTCTGAAATTAAATAATAAATATATAAAATAAATAAATTATACAAGCTGTCAACTACAAGTACCAGAATATTGCAGTTTTGAGACCCTCATATTCAACAATTTATAATGTAACCTGGTTCATTTTGGATACAATTGGAATTTCTACATCATACTTTCATGAATGAAGAAATTAAATTTAATTCTATTTTTAAAATTAAAAGCACAACATCAATATAAATGGAAAACTTGAGAATTATAGAAAAAAAAAAAAAACTCCAAAAATTCTAAAATTTTAATTCTTGGAAAGAAAAATCAAACAAAAAAAAAAAACAGAAAACTTTTGAAAAAATAAATTTTAAAAGTTTGTCATAGCCTCTAGATAATTTCGAATAACTGTGAAGAAAAACAAAAAATTGAATTACATCCTTCTATACTTTAAAAAAGTTTTATTTCTAAATTTTATTTGATTTTTCTTTAAAAGAAATGATTGCATATACAAAGAAAGGAAAATTAGAAAATTAAAGCAATCAAAATGAAAATATTTTTTCTTTAACGTCATTTTGGCAGAGACAAGTTTTAAAAATTTTGCATTTTACGCATCGCATAATTGCGTATGTAAAACTACCACCACTGCCGAGTTTCAGTAATAATTTCAAAGAAAAATTTGAAATTTAACTTTAAATTTTTGGTGTTAAAATTATAAAGTTTTAGAGTTTGACTTTCGAATTCATATAACACTATTCGATTCTTCATATAACACTATTCTAGAATCTAGAAATATTATGATGTAAAAATATTATATTTATTATGTATGTACTTTCATTTTAGAAATTATCATAAAATTTCCTATTTTATTGATTATACTGTCTTTGATATATCAATATCTTTAAGTATACAATTATATATTTATAGGAATAATATAACAAAACATAATAATAATTACATTTGTACATAATAATAATGAATTTTTCTCATTATATTCACGCACAATATCCCATTAATGTAAATAGATCTTTTATTTTTTTTTTCCTTGTCGCTAACACTTGTATAACAATTTTGTGTAAAAATTCTATTTTAATAATTATTGTATTATATGATTATATATATTACAATTATAATATTATAATAGTTCTATATATACATATTATGTGGTCTATTTATATATTGTTATACATTTTTTTATTTATATATATAAATAATATGAAATCATAAATAATATCTGATTACAATATAATAATTATATTAAAGTGTGCGGTAAATGAATAATAAATTATTTTTTTTTTTTGTATTGGAAAAAAACTATAATAAAATAATATTTGTATTGTTGCGTGCATGTATTACAGAATTAAAATATAAAAGTAAAATAATAAAATGAACAAAATATAAATATCATTCGGAGGGTGTCTTTTCAATTATTAGCATATTTTTATTATATACATATATAGAAAACGAAATTTAATATAAGTAAATTGTATTTGAATATAAAAATTATTTAGAAAAATTATGATATCATTAATTATTATCTTTGAAATTTGTGTATTAAATAGAAAAAAAAAATAATTTAAGAAAAATAATAAAGTTAAAGCTTAATGCTTTTTCTGTTAAATATAGGTTCTACATTATTATTATTGTAATATTATTTGGTTTTTGATAAATTGGATTTTAACTGTACTACTGTAGCTTTTACGGTATAGGCTTGTCACATACGTAGTAAAATTCAATGACGCAAGAAATTGTTTCATGGTTATCTACTCTAAGATATCATATATACCGGCCCTATGCTCCTCCTAGAAGCGAAGTAGAATAAAAACTATAGCTTTATTGAAATTCATTTGAATATTTAATTATATACATTTGTTATAATTAAAATGAATTCGGACATATTTAATTAATTTATATCTACTGATAACGCTAGTCAAATTAGAATCTTTATTTTAAATACTTTCAATTACAATTATTGTAACTTTTCACAAATGTGCTATAATATGTATAAAAAGTTATAGGGAAAGTCATTTTCCTTTTATATTAATTATGGTTGATTGATTCGACTATATTGTATTTTTAGTTGTAAAGAAATTTTACTGTAATTTTCTTGAATTTTTATTATTTGTTTTTTTCTTTATCGTTAAATTCTTTATGGGTAAATGCCCACTTATATGCTTAATACGCTTTTTATTATGTTATATATATTCATTTCGTTTATAATAATTTTATAATAGTTTTTTATTTTATTACTTTTTATTGATACTTTTAATATTTTCCAGTTCATATTTTTCTCTTATATCATTTTTCAATTAAAAAAAAATTTTTTTCTTCTTTTACCATTTTTCCAAATACGCACACAATATTCTATATACAAAAACAAACATATTATATAATATATACAGATCTTAAAGAGAACATTGTTTGTAACTTAAAACGGCCATTATTATAAAAACGGGACAATAATACAATTAAGACATATATATATATATATAACTGTATTAAAGATAAAAGGGTCGCTTTTTTTTCATATTTTCATTCTAAAATGGAAAATGTAATAAAAATATAATTTATAAATTGCATATGTATAGATGATATGATGTTAAAGAATTGATAAAACCTTGAATACGTGTGTGTTTTTGTGTGTGTTTATTGTTAATAATAGAGAATAGCATGTTGTTATTTTATTTTTATAATAAAAGAGCATCACATATTGTAAAAGGACGCACATATTTTTTGTTTTTTTTTTGTTTTCACTAAAAACTACTCTATTTATAATACGTGCTGTGCTAAATACCTACGCTTGAAATACAATGTTTTCCTTAAATCATCAATTTTATTCTTAGTTTTTTATATTTTTGTATTTAATTAAAACTCTATGATAACAATAAAACGTAAATACAATGCCAATTTTTTAAAAATTTCGTTTAAAATATTTTTGCTTTTGAAATTTTTTTTTCGAAAAACAATAAGGTAGCTTAAAAGTTATTGGGTAGTTAGAAATTGTGAACTTTTTAGCCTTATCATAAATTTCGTTCATAGCTCCGAAATTCGGAAAATTATGGATCTCATCATCCCTTTTATAATTTTCGTTTCGAGCTCCGAAATTCGGAAAATTACGAATTTCATATTTTCAATTCCGAATTACTAAACTCATACTACGAACAGTCGTAATAGAATAATCATAAATTACGTTCGTAGTAAAAATAAACCCTCAAAAATCTACGAAAGAAATAATCACACGTAACAAGCAATTTAAGCAGAGGAGTTGCTTGAAATTTTCAAGTTACCGTGAATCCATTCCATATTTAGTCAATTTCGGAATAAAATTTGTTGTTGAATATAAATTACATAACACCCTTTTTATTAAAGATATAACTACTATTAAAAGGCTCGAACAACCATTGCTTAAAATGTAGCTATAAGCAACTATTTATATTTTATATTTAATATAATAATATATAAATATTCGAAATCAAAGAGCAATAAATAATTAAATTTCAAAATAAATGAGAATAGTTTTTAGAAGTTCATTCATTAATAAAATATTACATAAAATCATTAATATTATAATTATATATTCTGTTTAATTAATGTATAAATTACATAAAATGGAATATTTCAAAAGAAAAGGCGAATACATATTTAATTTTTAAAGATAAAAGAAGAAAATTTATGATTATTTGAAAAAATTTTTTTATACCC